GCCAAGCCTTTAACAGAGAAATGTTATATTAGAACACATAATTAGACTGTTAAAGTCACTACCACAGGAAGTCACTGAAGCCAAGATTCTACTGGGATTCAAAAAGAAAGCAGCCATTTAAGCACAAACAATAAGAAGAAAAACAAAATAAACACACAGCTGAGGGAATCTCAAGCTTCATGACCAAGGTGCAAGAAAACACCCAAACAGATCATGGGGCGGTACGCAACCACACAAATACTCTACCTAACCTGACCCCACAATGGCCAGTAGCTAACACCAAGGAAGGAGTATGAGCAACACAGCAAGCATAGAACAATCTGTCCCTTAGACAGCTGAACATGAAAAGCATTTAGCTGCCAGGCTGGCATCTGCCAACCACCTAACCCCCAAAAGCATCTGGTGCTGGCCAACTTCCAAATGCAAGGCTTGCCTGGCTCGGTATGCGATGCTATATTGCTTTAATTTCTTCTCACGCTTCCCAGTTGTACTTTGTTTTTTTAAGAACAAGAACCACAAATGTATTTGCAAATAGGATTTCCATCCAGTGCTTGGACTCACTCCAGGAAGCCATCTAGTCTCTCTGGAGTACATCAACCAAGACCACCTCAAATGAACAAAGAATTAAATACCGAACACTACACGCCTCACTTAAAGAGTATTCCCAGCAGAAGAGAATTTGGAAAAAAATCCCCTTTACACATGTAAATTAAGAAACAAGAGAAGAGCTCCATGAACTCCCTCATATCCTCCCCTCAACTAATGAAAAATAAAGCAGAAACATAACCTGTGTTTCCAAATGTCTTGACAACATAACTCTACACGTGGATACATGTTTGCTGTAAATCTGAGATGGAACTGGACCACACAGATGACTTCCAACGACCCCTTTTCAATCTAAATTATTCTATGACTACATGTAGAGCACACTCAAACATTACACAGTAATACATTACAGCCTAAGTACTATTAACTCCTTTCTCCCTATAGGCACTTCATTAAGCAATATGTGTTCTCCTTACAAATTTGAATACAATTTCTTCAAATGGTTAACCATTTCCTCTGGACCCAGCAAAAAGGACCTTGACAAATAACAGCACACTACACTCAGGAGGGAAAACATGTTATCGAAAGCTTTCAAAGTCTTTTCTTTTTCACACCACTACATACCTTAAGAGTAAGTAGTGCTCAGCTGTCCTTGAACAGTCAGAAGGAGCAGCACCTCTGACAGAGATATCCCAAAAGAGTTGTGTTTCCTTCCTAAAACATAAAAACATTACAGAAAGAACAGGCCTACCTTGTTCCGTGGGCAGAAGCAATTAAGTCTGTCTGCTCCTACCAGTGGGCCGTGGCTCCCTGTTGCCCTTCTCTGCCTCACCCAACATTATTTTCCTGCCCCTGACCTGTCTCATCAACAGCCCCAGTTGTTTGGCTGGGCCCATAGCAGCACACACCATAGCAAGGCTCAGAGCTCTACACACACTAGCCAGCAGTTGCTCTCTTCCTCACTAAAGAAGGGACACACCTTTCTTCAGGTGGGATTATTATTCTGGGTCACTATCTGTCAAGTTTCATAATAATTTCTCACTGTGTAGGTATCTAACATCTTTCAGTTGTCATTAAACCTGGTTTTGCCATCTGACTAACTAAAGAAGTTACTCAAAGGAGAAGACAGGCAAATAAAGTAATGGTAGGAGCTTCGTGCCCTTAGTAAACCTGGCTAAAAATTCACATAAACTGTTGGGTGATGATGTTTCAGGCAGTGTGGTGTTCATTATGAAAACTTCCTCACAGCCAAAATAACCCCACCCTGTGACTGTCATCACTCTCACTCACAAGGGTCCTGAGAAGAGGGGGGGAGGAAGAGTTGTTTTTACTTCTTAACCAAATTTCCACTATAAACAAGTAGAACATACGACATTTAGAAAGAGTCTGGGAAGGCAGCATGTGTAACTTCGGGAAAGAAGTGGTGTCCCTGCTTTCCAGTGACCCCTGCCAGCTGCCACCGGAACAGCATTGTTCAACACCAAGAGCCTCTCCAGCCCTCACCGTCTGGTTCACTGCCCCCAACAAAGTTACCTCGAGATCTCCTTAATGCACCTATGCACCCCTGCGAATACATCATCAATACCCTGTTTCCTATTCCACAGCCTGCCCCACGGGATTCTGAGTTCTCCCAGAACTCACACCAGTATTCAGCAGCTATGGGTACAGCTGAGACCAACTTTTTGAGACAAGCTGAGCTAACCCTGCTTTGGAAGAATTCCAGTACTACTGGAATACTTGAAATGCTCCATGGAGTTCCCAGCAATTACTGACAATTTATTTGCATGTCACATTCCACACAATACAAGAGGAAAAAAGAAAATCTACTCCAAGCATTGAATTAAACTAACCAGGTTTCCAAATTCTTTTTCAGATGACTCAGGCTCGTGTTATATCCTTTATAGTATTTATATCCAGAAGAAAAACATACACTGGCAGCAAAACATAGCAACGTAAAATCCAACTGCACAAACATTCCACTTCAAACAGGCATCAGGATCTCAAACACACCGGTTCCAAGCATTGCTCTCAACCTTCACCTTCAGAACTGAAAATCGCTTGCAAATACTGTAAAGTAGAACTCTGGGGAAAAAAACATTAAAACCCAACTATTGAAGCTGTATGAAGAAGGATGATGTGTGCGCAGACATCGGTTCATAAACACCTTGCTGGAACAAAAATAAGGCTTCTGAGAAAAGGACTATCCTTTCCGGGGAGTCACAAATAAAGGGGCAAATCAAAGAAGATCACAAAAACCTTCAGAGCTCCAGAAATAGCCAAATGCATACAGCTATTTATAACCCAGAGACTTATTCCCAGAGCACTTTCAGCCTCTAACCCCAGGAAAACAAAATGCCTCATGCCAAGCGCTAATGTATAGAACAGAAATATACCCTTCTGCCGCTTCGTGACAGCTCTAAGTGCAGCTAAAGATATTAGGATTCACTTACTGGGATTAACAGGTTATTTCAAGTGATGGACTTCTCCCTGATAAAGCAGAATCCACCATCTGTTTAACAGCACTGGCATGAAGATGTACATGGGGGAATTGCTGATGACACACTGTACTTAGTCCCATTCCTGTTAGAGAACTTGTGTCAAAACTGTAAAACCAGCTGTATTTTCTGCAGGAATGTTTCATCACAAAGAATTTCAGACTGTTAATTACAGTGCTTTCAACAAGTCAGGTTTTCCAATTAATTATTTTTTCCAGTTAATTATATGACAGATAGATAAGGCACTGGCAAATTTGGAACAAGAGGAAGAGTCATGCTGCTGAGCCTTGAAAGTGACCAACAGCATGTTAAAGCAGTGAAAGACAAAACACCAAGCACAGAGCTTGAGAATGTGAACTAAAACTCACTGAGTCCAACACACCTGAGCCACATGCACTTAAGGAGTATGAATTAAAAACAGAGGTAAAAGAAGCAAACATCACAATAGTTCGACTACTGCATAATCGTTTTTCCCCTCCGCTGTCTCCTTTGTTACTCATAGAAAGAACAGCAAATAAAACACTGGAGAAAAGAATATGACAGAAGAAACTAGCCTAACGTTCAGATACCCAAACTATGGACAGCACATAAGCTGCAGACAGGTTGTCACTGACTCAGGGTGGAAAGGGGAAAAAGATGGGATAGGGGCTAAGGAAGAAAACGCCAAAAGAAGATGTGTAAAACAGAATCAGGAGACGAGGTCAAAGATAAAGGTGAAGATGCAGAAATTTAGGACCTTTAAAGTAAAGGAGAAAAAGCGTTCTGTCACCTGACACAGGCACTGAACCAGCTCAAGATGTAGCAGAGCAACTTAACACGGAAAAGGTGTGCTGCAGCAGCACAAGCCCGCCGTGGCAAGGAGCACCGACACGCACGGCACGGGCCAGCAGCCCAGCGCCTACCGTCACATGCACGCGGCAACCAGCGGGCCGGTAACCGAGGGCTCACGGGGGCCCGCGGAGACCCCGCGCCAGCTCCCGCTCGAGAGCACCTGGCGCAAGGAGGCCGCGGGCCTCCCGCCCTTCCCTCGGCCAGCCTGCCCCGGGGGGGCGGGAGGCCCCGGCGCGGCAGCAGCGGCGGCGGGCGGGCCGGCAGCGGAGCCGCTCTCACCGCCTGAGGACCGAGGAGAGCCGCGGCAGAGCGCGCTCCGCCACCCCTTAATGCGCTTTCGGCCCCGCCGGCCGCCCCCTGTCAGCCCCCGCCGAGCGGCCACAGGCACCGGCACCTCCGCCTCACCCCGGCCGCTTCCCAGCCTCAGCCCCGCTCCTCCCGCCAACCCCCCTCTCCCCTCCCGCCGGGTCCCGACCTTACCGGCCGCCCGGTGCCGCGGAGGAGCGGGCCAGCGCGCGCCGCACACAACGGCAGCGAGGGGAGCGCGAGGCGGCGGCGGGAGCGAGCAAGGCAACAGCTGGGTGGGAGGAGGGGGGGGAGAGGGGGAGGTGGAGTGGGGCGGGAGGAGGAGGATGAAGAGAACGCGCGCTCCCGCGCGGCGGCAGCAGCAGCAACAGCGCGCTACCCGCGAGGGTGCGCGCCACCGGGCAGGGGGCGGGGCCACAATAGGCCGGCAGCCAATAGAACGCAGTTGGCCTCGCGAAGGTGGGGTCGAGAACTGACTGACGACGGCATTGTCCAATCAGACAGGGAAGGAGGCGGGGCTCCGCTGTCGACGGACGGGAGGCGGGGCCAGTGTGACTGGCAGCCCGCAGCTCGAATTGGCTGCAAAGGGGGGGGGAGGGGGGGGGGGTTGTGCCAGGCCCAACCGCCATTCGCCATAAGGGGCTGCCGGGCCTTGACGGCCGTCACGGCTGCCGATTAGCTGAGGGAGGCGGGGATTACTGTGAGCGACGTCACCGCTACCCAATGGCTCCCGGGCGCGGTATTACGTAAGTCCCCACTGCCCAATCAGAGCCCTGGGGCGGTAGAGGAGGAAGGCGGGCGGGTTCCTGAGGCAGCCCGTCCGCCTCTCACGTGTGTTGGCTGTGCGTACCCGGGCGAGAGGGTAATGCGCGGAGACCCTGCGTGGGAGGCGGCGGCGGGCCAGGCGGTAGGTGGCTGTTGGGGGCGGTGAGGGGGCTCCGCCTCGGGTTTCTGTACCGCGCCCTCGCTCCTGCGGCAGTAGGGCTTCCGCCATGGCGGTGGGAGGGTGCTAGGGAGCAAGCCGGCTCGGCCGAGGAAGCGGCCGAGGAAGGCGGCCGGGCCGGCAAGGAGGGCCGGAGTGCGGTGAGGAGGAGGCCGGGCGGCACAGGGTCAGCCGTGGGGCTGAGGAAGGGCGGGAGAGGCGGGCGGTCCCCACCCGGCTGCGGGGCTCCGGGCCTGGCCCGGCTTGGCATTATCATGGAGCAGCTCGAGCCCCAGCCCTGCGGGGCCGGCCCGGCTCCCCGACCCGCTGCCCTGGCCAAGGAACAGGCCCTAGCTGCGGCAGAGACGGGTGGCCGAGGGCAGCGACCGGGCGGCCCCGGCTGGATTAAGCAGTGCCGGCTTCGGAGCACTGCGATGGGCTGCTGAGCTTCTGCCGCTGGCTTTGGTTAGCCCGGCACCCGCCGCTGGTTTGCCCGTTTCCTCCTCGGTTATTCCGGATAGTTTGAGTGTTTGGGAGGTTTTGTTTGTTTGTTTATTTTCTGTTAAATATATCACTCAGAGTCCCTGTTTCACTTAAAAGCAGTAAAACAGGGTTCCGGTTACCGCGATGTTGTAGTGTGAGTTTATGTACACTTTTAAAACTGCATATACGAAGACTTAGTTCAACTAAGAATGCACCATTGCGAGGAGGACTTGTGAACACCTAACCTGTATTCACATCAAACTAGTTGAAATGTAGTTTTAAAACGGATATGTTTCTTTCTAGGTGTTAAATTACTCATACCTGGTGAATGGGTTTTACAGTGGCATTTAAGCTAAAGTCCTATTTAATTTGGTTTCAGTATAATTTTTCTGAACTTTATTAGCAGTGTACAAGGATTAAATTCCTAGATTTGTTTATCATTAATATTGAGCTGAATGTTATGTGTGTAAGTTTCTCTCTGTGTCCCCCCTCTAAAAAGGCTAGGGTTAGCTATCATCATATTCTCATTATGTAGATCACCCTGCCAAGGTCAGTAATGCTGCTTAGATACGGTTTCTCATTACTGAAAACTTTCACATCCTACTAATGACAGGACTCCTGTGAGGAGTTGAGAAGGGTTTTTTTTACACCCTGCCTTTAACATTTCCTTCATTGTTTTCACAGAAGAGATACTTCAGGCTTGTACCATATCTGCATCCTTTTTCCAGCGTTAACTATCTTGTGATAGCTGGCCTTTAGCTGAGAGTCTGCTGATAACCTCCTTTCCTAAGGAGATTGCAAAGTGTTCCATGTAGTGGAGCCCTTTGTCACTGTCAGATGTACCCCCAGCTGTCAGCCTTTAAAATTTGGTACCTTCCTTTACTTGGACTGTAAGATCTCAAGAGTACACTTGGATGTTCTTGAGATTTTCATCCAAAAAAAGCCACTAAAATTGAATGGAGCCTTGCAGTGCTGCCCAGTCCTTCAGTTCTCTCTTAATTAGGTCAGAGAAAGGCAGCAGGACATCCCATGCCAGATTTTCTGTCTGTGTGTTCTAAAAGTGGTTCTGAACACCTGGGAAACACAAAAATCTTCTCAACAAGTGGGCAACCTTCAAGTTGAGTCACCCCATCCAGTACACGTTCAGTAGCTTTCTGTTTGCTCCATGGACAGCTGATAGCAACTTCTTTGTGTATCTGATAACCTAATACTTCCAATGGTGTTGAATTCCATTTTTCCTTTCAGGCTGGATTTTCCAGGCTGTTTCTTTGGTTTCCCCTTTCTCCAGGTTGCTCACAAGAGCTACTCCTTGTGCTCTCTGTAGCAATGATTTCTACAAGTAGTTTTCAGAAATGCTGTCACGAAAGGAGTGCTGAAGCTGTTGCAGATCACTGCTCTCTCTGCTTTACCTGCAGACTTGGACATGGGAATATTGGGAATGTTTTCACAATACTGGCAGTGCGTCAGGCAGGTCATGGTAGTTGTTCTGTAATCCTGTGCACTACCAGCTGGTTTGGGTGTGTTTCTCTCATGGGAACAGAGCAATGCTATCTAAAGCTCCTCCAGTTTTTTTCTGTCTTCTTGGCAGTTATCTCTTACACGAGTGTCAGTGCAAAGATTCACCCCTTCCCCGAGTCTCTGTGCCATCCAGCCAGTAACTGGCATCCACCAGCCCCTTTGATGAAATGCACAAGCATGGAAACAGCAAAAACCCTATTTTTAAACCTGGCTTGCTCTGGGTCACACAGTGTCAGCCCCTACAAGGGAAGGGATTACTGACAGTAACTCCAGTGTAATTTATTTTAGCCTAAACTGGGATCTTTCCTTAAGAGAAATTCCCAGACTGAAGAAAAACGTAGGTATGTTGAACTGTGTATCAGCAGACAGATTAAACTGCAGGTTTTTAGTAGTGTATGAAGTTCTTAGCCCCAGCTCTTAACATAAGAGGTCATCTCCTGACCAGTTCAGCCAACAGCTTTTGCTTCCTTCCTTGTTCCAGTGCTTATCTGAGCACAGTCGGTTCAACTTGCTACTCTCACAAACAACTAACCCAGATGAAAAGGGAAAGGTACTAATAGATTTCTTCCATCGTGCCTACCTGGAAATGTACATACACTGCCAAGCTGATGAGCTGGAATAGTTTTTCTGTCAGCCAGTGTCTGCACGCTTCAGATACCTGCTGGAAGGCAAACATGATCCGTAGCTGTTGGTACTTTAAGACTGGTGCTTGACTGGAAGTGGTCACTGCAGCTCTGCAGGCTAGGGGATGCTCCAGATGGCTTGTTACTTGGGCTTGTTAGTTGGTTTATGCTTCATTGTGATGATTTTATTACAGAGAGAGAATTGTTAGGTTTATCTGCAAGCATTAACTTGATGAGTCTCAGTACTGGAGGGAAATGGACCTACACATATTCTCAGCCTACACAAACCCCTGTATGAGCTTGACTGCTAGTTTAGGATTAAAGTGTTGCTTCACAGAACAGATGAAGGGAGTTTACAGAACTGACTGAGTGGTGGACAGGACCAAAACAGTGCTTCCCTGGGAATGGTAGTTCTGAAAGAAATGCTGGGGAGCAGAATGTAGGTGAGGTTAGAAGGAGTGGAAAAACGGTAACAAGAACCTAAGTCTCCTTTAAGGAATATGCCTGATGGTTGTGTGGTGCCATCTTTTGGTACATCCCTCCTCTTCTGTTTTGTTAGGTTGTTGCTGACAGTGAAAGACTTCCCCTCAAAGCTGTTTAAATGAGAATGTCCCTGGCCCAAAGAGTACTACTGACATGGCTTTTTACGTTACTCTTCCTGATCATGCTGGTGCTAAAGCTGGATGAGAAAGCGCCGTGGAACTGGTTCCTCATCTTTATTCCAGTTTGGATATTTGATACCATCCTTCTAGTTATGCTCATTGTGAAAATGGCCGGACGCTGCAAGTCTGGCTTCGACCCTCGCAACGGCTCCCAGAACATCAAGAAGAAAGCCTGGTACCTCATTGCAATGCTGCTCAAGCTGGCCTTCTGCCTCGCCCTCTGTGCTAAACTGCAGCGATTCACCGCCATGAAACTGGCCTATGTGTTCATCCCTCTGTGGGCCCTGCTCATTGGGGGTATGGTTGAACTTGGATATAATATCTTCTATGTACGAAGAGACTAAACTGTACTGTGTGGGTTTAACACTGATGCTGATACCAAGTTACTGGGTTATTACAGTTTTGCCACAAACTTGGTCTCCAAATTAGAAAGCCAAGTAAGGAATCAGCCAGACTGCAGACTTTAAACTGAAGACTGAAAGTAGACTTATTCCATTTTTTTTATTGTAAAACTGTCACATATGCTCTTGTAAATAAAAGTATTTGTTCAGCATAAGATGTTCTGATATGATTATTCTTGTTCTTGGTTATATGAAGTAAGATACAAGCTCTTCATGTGCAGGTAGCTCTTCTCAAAGGAACCACAGCTGTTCTACCTGAGTATTTGGCACACTGGGTAATCCTTGGGAAGAGGACTTCAGTTTATTACTACAGAAGCTGTCACTCAAGAAATAACCAATTAATTATTTCTGTAAGGTTGTAAATTTCTTTAGGGATCAGCAACAGCTGATAGCTGCCAAATAAGAACAGAAACGGAATTAAGTGGCTCAGCATTTATTTTTTGACAGTGAGAATGCACTACTAGTCTGAAAGACTAAAAATAAGCACTCTTTAAGCTGCTGAAAATAGACAATAACCAGTCTGTTGACCCGGGGGAAGTCAGTAGTGAACTGTGCCAGCAGGAGGGAGGCAAGGGTGATTGTGTTTCCAAGGGGGAAATGCCCAGTGCTGCAAGAGAAAGGAGCTGCAGGTGAGTTCAGTGATACCTCTGCACCCACAGGAAGGGGTACTGCAGCAAGGAAGATGGTTTTAATGGTCTCATACTGAATCTCGGTGGTGAAGCCTTTGGTTTTCTGGAGTACTGGCAAACTTGGGTGGAAGTGAACTTTTCTAAATAACAAATGCCATAATGGAACCAGGAGCATATTCTGTGGACTGAGAGCGCTGTTCCAGGAGCACCAAATTCAGATGTAAAGGTAGCCTAGGACATACAAACATTCCTGCTGCTGATACTGATCCATTTACAGCTCCCAGGTATGAAAGAATGTCTAGTGAATGAAAAGAGCCCAGAAAAACAATGTGAGGTAACTGGAGGTGACCAGATCAAAGTGTCACCAATAAAATATTCATACGTACATTCAACTGAAGTTGTCTGTAAAAAAAAAAAAAAAAAATGCCTTCCTGTTCAGTCACACAGATGGGGCACAAATAAAGGGGAACCAACTACGCTGTCAGACTGCTGAGAGGGCTTTAGCCCAGGAACCAGTCTGCTCCAGGCTACGGCAGTGGCACTAAATTCAGAACATCAGCTCACAAAAGGTCTTCAGAAAGAATTTAAGTCACAATTGCTCCAGATCCATGACTGCCCACTATGTTAAAAGAGGAATCAAGGAATGCAAACAGTCTGTAGCTGTTAAAATAACTGCAAAATATTTATAACCCCTTTATTAGAGTAAAAATAATGCATCACCTTTAAACAAATCCATGTATCAGCCCGAGTTTATAAACCTGCTGTGATTCATGGAAAGCTGAAACTACCCTTTAGAAATCTCTTTTCCTTTCAGTGCCTGTCGGGAAGTTGTTTTTTGGGGAGGTGTAGCTGTGCCCTGCTTCTTTCTGAAATACACTTCATGGGAGGATCCTCTCAGGGTCTGAGAAGCTTTCTGCCTGCTTGCATGGTGTCCTGCTCCCTTCACTGCTGCTGTGATTGTTCAACTTAAAACTCTGCCTGAGATTAGGATTAACTGTGGCAAGGAGAGGTTAGCATTCATCTTGGTATGTGCTCTGGGCCTCCTGAATGTAGGGAAAGCAAGAGCAAGCAGGCATCTACACATAGGAGACGTAGGTATATACATGCATGTGTATGTATGGTGCAGAGAACACACTTAATCGATGCAGCCAATGTAAGTGTCTTCAGCAGATCTTCTGTCAAATAGAAGCTGGGGTAGCTGAGCTTCCTGGGATGCAGTCCTCCACAGCAGACAAGCTAGAGCTCAGGTAGAATTCTTACTGGCTGCTTTAGAATGTATGGAGAAGAAGAGCGTCTAAAGACCTACCTCCAATTTAGGTAAACTTTTATGAACCACTTATCAAACACTGATGGAAACATAACAAGCATTTAAGCCCTTTAGACAATACATACATACACAGACACACACCTCTTTTTGGCCTATTGCAGCACCAAACATAAACCTGAGTACCCATTGTCTTTCCCTACCTGAGGATCATCACAGAAGAGCAAAAGGCACTGTTCACACACAGCCAGGGAACCCCATGCTGCTCAGAAGAGCAGAGCCGCTTCCCTCAGTCAAGTGGTGGTGTTAACACATCACAAATTATGGAAGGATAAAAACTACCCTCATTAGGACTTGGTCTGTGATTAGCAAGATGGGCCACAAATGGTGGCTCTGCCCCCTTAATAAACCCCCTTTGTGCCACAGATGTAACAATTATCTGAAAGTTTGGCATCTCTAATTAACTACAATTGAACACAGTTGCTCCAAATCCTCTTTTAATTGCTGCTTCTAATGCAACACGAAAAGATGAACAATTTCAGTGTTTTGGTTGTGGATTTGGTTTTTTCTTTTCATTTGAAACATTTACAAACCTTGAAATAAATGACAGATTTGGAAAGCTGCAGCAGGCAGTTCTTGTGTCCCGCCGGTCACATGCAGACTGGTTTCCTTTAGCACAGGGTGTTTTTGGACACAGCCATCTGCAAGTGCTCGACTTTGCTTGCAGGATCCTCATCCTTACAGAGATGCTTCAGCAAAAGCGGTATTTGTACCAAATTTAACTGACCTAACCTCTGCTGATGCCTTTGTACACACAGTCTTGCTCTTCTGCAATGTCTCACTCAAAAGGACGTACAATACAAAGCATGCTGTAGAGCACTGTGACCTTTCCAGAAGCTGCTGCAGGAATTCCCTCTGTTCACAACTACCCTGTTCACAAAGGCACCGCTCACAACTGAGATGGAATGAGCTCTCCTCACACTTTGTTTGAGACTGATCTGCTGATCTCCGTTGAACAGAACAGAAAAGGTGAAAAGCAGATGTGACACAGTTGGCAGGGAAAAGGGATGGCAGGGAAAAGGGAAGTGGATGCCAATGGCTCACCCTGACTTGTGAGACACAGGCAGAAGGGAACTACAGCCCAAGTACCAGCACCCGGATGAACACTCACCCCAGGTATTTGTGGCAGCTGATGCAGGGTATGGAGGGATTGCTCTGCCTTCAGCAGCTGTGCTTGACACTGCACTTCAAAGCTTGCAGTTCTGAAATGAGACTGCAAGTATTTACCATGTAGTGCTGTTATATATATTATATATATACATAACAATATATAGAGAAAGATTATATACATGTTGTATATGGAGATTTATGTTCCGCACCATTTTCCTTCAAATCATTTATACAAGCTGGAACACTTCAGCATACTTTGTAGGAGAATATCTACTTCTGTCTGATAAAGGAAAACAATCAATGCACGTGTGTGAAAGGTCAAGAAACTTAAATTTTCAATTACCTATTAACATTGTTGTTCTTGATTTGTCACCATTTCAGAATAGGGGAAAAATCAAGAACAGGTTTTCTGTCCTTTTTCTACTTGAAAAATACCATTACATGACATACATACCCCCACCTTGAACCTGAATGTACCAGAGACGTGTACAGACACCCCAAATGCACTGCTCGGCACAGGTGACAGTGTTACAGGATAGGCCAGCACAGGACTAAGTAAGAGACGGAAGCAGTGTTACTGTCTGACATACACACAGTAGTACAGAAACATAACCTTGGAGTGACCTCGTGGAAGTTTCCATGTTTGCTCAGTTTAGAAGTTGGGTGACACAAAGGTTCTGATCAAAGTGACCTTCATGAGACTCCCAGACACCCAGAATTGAACCAACATCCAGTGTTACCTATTTTAACACCACTGTCTTTTGGGAACAAATACCATAGCTTTGCAGTAACAAAGCTCCTGAATAACTGCATCCTCAGAAATAAGTTCTTTGCATTTATTGGCACAGAAAGCAAAGCACGAGCATGTAACACATAACACTTTTTAACTGAGACTGAGGTAAAAATAACTCTGCTGAACTGGAAAAAATAATGTTTGTACCCTTTCATTGTACATTTATGGTTTTTAGGTTTGGATGCAGTTAGTCTTCCACGTGATACTTCAGACCTGGACAGGCCCAGCTATAGACTCACTGCTGAAAGCACCGGGCCATGCAGCCTAAGGCAATGTAAGAAACCCCTGCAGCTAGACCTCTACAGTGCCATCCACTGTCAGTTCAACATTTTCTCCTTGGGCTTGTACTGAAGGTGGATGAAGAGTAAAGAATCTACAACTCAGTCCAGCTGTTTCCTTCAGTCTGCCTTTTCCAACAAAACCAAAGTCATAAGCAGGCAAGCAAAAGAGAAGTTAATGCAGCACAGAACAGCAGCATGAGTGCAAGAAACAAAGAATAAATGAGACCCCAAGCTGAGCTTATGAGTTTTTATCTCAGTGTTACTTACAAAGTTTGTAAAGAAATCACTCCTAAATTATGCTTTTTAGTCTAAATAATTCATTTCTGTGATTACAAAAGCTGTCACTGCATTGACTGGACAGACAAGTCCCTGAGTGTCTCTGCATGCTCAGAATATATCTTTAGCAGTTTTGACTTAGTTACACTAGTCTTCCGCACACAGGTCTCATTCTCTTGAGACACCTGGGGAACAGCTTTCTCAACCAACTGCCCTGTTTTGTCTCAACACAACCAGATAAACCTGCCACAGAAAGCATCATCTTTAAAACGGAGGCCTAAGCTGCACCAAACACTGCACTTACATAAGCAGTGGGCTGGAAATTAACTGGTGAAAGAAAATACAAAAGAGTTACTGAAAAACTTGATGAAAATAGAATTTTAAACTGCTGCTTTAATCAATGTTTGTATCAGATTATCATAACTGTACACCAAATATTAAAGGACTATTTAGGACTAACACCCTCATCAGTAGGCTCATCTATCAGCATGACCAGGACACAAGGAGATCGGTGTTCAGCCAGCACTGGAGTACAGCATAGCTCCAAGGCAGAGGAAATACGAGCATCATGGCACAGAGAAAAACAGTGGTTGGAATATAATACACCAAATCTGCAAAGTCAGTATCCCTGATGATTCTAATCCAAATAGAAACCCAGAAACGGTGAAGTTAATCACAGCTTCTGCATGGAATACTTGAATGTGCATTTCTAAGAGTAATGAAATGAGTGACGGGAATCAGT